GAAAAAATGAAAAAAAAAAGGTGAAAAAAGGATCATCTTCAACCTCAACTGAGCGATAAGGGAAATCTCGCAACTCGTAATCCCACACCACAAATAACTCTTCTCTCTCACTCCATCAGTCCCACTCTAAAGAGAGACACTTCCAAAACCCATCTTTCTCTCAAACCACACCATCTGAGAATGGCGGCCACTGCAGCATCACCAGCCTTTTGCGCCATCCCCAAGAAATCAACCTCTGTCCCCGCCGCCGCCGCTGCCGCCGCAAGGGCTTCACTCGGCGTCCCTGCCTCTCGTTTCCTCGCTAGAACCCCACTCCAACGCCTCGGCTTCGTCTCCGACCCCCTCTTCTCCCACCACATCGCTACCAAGCTGCGATCGTTCAGGAGTTCAAATGCCGGGCGGATTAGAGCCGTCGCCACCATGGCCAAGAAGAGCGTCGGAGACCTAACTCCGGCGGACCTCAAGGGAAAAAAGGTCTTCGTGAGGGCCGACCTCAATGTGCCTCTCGACGATAACCAGAACATTACAGACGACACCAGGATTAGAGCTGCTATCCCCACCATTAAGCATCTGATCGGCAGTGGCGCTAAAGTCATTCTTTCTAGTCACTTGGTTAGTTGAATCTCTTTGAAACCATTGAAAGTTCCTAATTTTGTAGCTGCGGATTTTATTATTTTGTATAATTTGCATTGTTGTTGCCTGGCCTACTCACGTGGAGCTCTATTGTTTTGAGTTTGATTTTCTCAAATTTGATAAGTTGTTACCAGATATTAGAGATGGAAAGCTCAATACTTGTTTTTTTCCCTTTCTTATTTTCTCCCTGATTACCATAGGTGTGATATGAAGTTAAGAGACTGAAGATCCTATGAACCTCTTTGTGATGTCCCTGCTTTATCCCTCATCCGCTTTATTCTGCCACAAATGTTCTGATTCTATTAGTCTTTTTTACGTGTGTGCAATCTGATACAAATCTTTAAATTCATGAGTATCACTACTGATTTATGTTACTTGTTTTTCAGGGTCGTCCGAAAGGCGTCACACCAAAATATAGTCTTGCACCTCTTGTTCCAAGACTCTCCGAGCTGCTTGGTATTGAGGTACCAACACTTAAGAAAGAAAGTAGCACGAAGAAGGAGATTATGTGCACTACATGTTGTTATTTGCTTACTGAATATTAACTTAACATGAATCTACTTTTTTTCTGCCAATGTATATCCATCACAGGTTGTGAAGGCGGATGACTGCATTGGCCCCGAGGTTGAAAAATTGGTGGCCTCACTGCCTGAGGGTGGTGTCCTCTTGCTTGAGAACGTGAGATTTTACAAAGAGGAAGAGAAGAACGAGCCCGAGTTTGCAAGGAAACTTGCCTCATTGGCTGATCTTTATGTCAATGATGCATTTGGTACTGCACACAGAGCACACGCCTCTACGGAGGGAGTTACAAAGTTCTTGAAGCCCTCGGTCGCTGGTTTCCTTTTACAGAAGGTTAACCCTTGCACTTTAGACATCGAAATTTATTATTGAAATAGTAATATTTGAGTTCCGCAAGGTTATTTAGTTATTAATCCTTGGATTTCACTGACTGCCATAAAAACCGAAATGATCTTGAAAAAAAAAATAAAATATTAATGCTTCATTTCATTCTCCCTCAAGTGGGGGATAATGGGTTTCTATGCAACTCGCAGGGTTTTTGTGGGTATATATTATTTGGAAGATATCTGTAGTTCTTTGTGTATGTGCACAGACATGCTTTCAAATAGACTAAACCTCAGGGTACTTTGTGTCATTATTCATTTCTTTCTAGTGCCGTTTTACCCATTTATATATTTATGTGAAACCAAAGACTGTCAATTGACTTCAGTTTTCATTGCTTTAGGAGCTCGATTATCTTGTTGGGGCAGTTTCGAGCCCAAAAAGGCCTTTTGCTGCCATTGTGGGCGGTTCGAAGGTTTCCTCCAAGATTGGAGTGATCGAATCCCTTCTCGAGAAGTGTGATATCCTGCTATTGGGCGGAGGCATGATTTTCACATTCTACAAGGCACAAGGGCTGTCTGTAGGGTCGTCCCTTGTCGAAGAAGACAAGTTGGATCTTGCCACGTCACTATTGGAGAAGGCTAAGGCCAAGGGGGTTAGCCTCTTGCTACCTTCTGACGTTGTTATAGCCGATAAATTCGCCCCAGATGCTAATAGCAAGGTCCTTATTCCTTTTTTCCATCGCTTACAATGAATTTAGTCGTATTGATTTTTTTTTTTTTTTNNTTTGGTACCTTTTGTTTAAAAAAAAATATGAGTAGAATTCTTTTTTTAAGAGTTGTGGTGTGGGATGTTGTTGATATTTGCAGGTTGTGCCGTCATCTGCTATACCAGATGGGTGGATGGGATTGGATATTGGACCGGATTCTGTGAAAACTTTCAGTGATGCCCTTGAGACTACAAAAACTGTTATATGGAATGGACCAATGGGTGTTTTTGAGTTTGACAAGTTTGCTGTGGGCACAGAGGTACATGTCTTGATCTAAGCAAGCCAACTGTTATTTTCTTTTTACGAATGGTCTCTATTTCTAGACAGCTTCCTTTGAAATTGTTTATCTGGTGGAATCTTGGAGAAACTGCATTTTTTGATTTTGTAACGGTTTTGGAACCAATCTTCAGAGTCCTTTGAATATGGTTGATCAACCTTGCATTCCCTGTCTTTTTTACCTCCAGGAAAAAAATTACTTGACTTAAAATTGGATTTTTATCCTTTTTTTTTTTTAATACTGTCCAGCCTAAAATATT